CATTTAAAGACTTTGGAGGGTGGTGTGTATCTTAGAATCTCTCCAAAGCCAAAAACACATACTCAGATGTGTAGGCAATGGATAAGTGTGCCTATGTGTTCAAATGTTAGCTACAAATGTTTTCATGTCTGGCTAACTAGCTTACGCCTAACAGACACAACCAAGTACATCAATAACTAACTACCAAGTCCTCCTACAGCCGAGACAATTTAGAGCAACAGCTGCTCACGCACATAAATGGGATAACACAACTGAATCACACAGCTGGACTTTCCAAATGTTTTTGGACCAATTGAATATTGCTTTTTGGGCCAGTGTGCATTACAAGATTAACACAAGAGATCGAATACCCTACCACAACCAAGTGGTGAAGGAATGAGTCATGAAACCCAGAAATGAGCTAGCATTTTGCCACTCCCAGTTCCATTGACTCAAAGTCAATGGGTTTTCGGTTAGATGCCTGATATAAGGTTTGCTGGAAGCATAAGCTTAAGAGGGTTTCATATTTTGTTCTAGGCCATAAAATCCATCAGTTAATGTACAGCTCATGAATTTTGAAGCTTGTAGGTGACTTAAAAAAGACAGATGCTAACAAGTGGCTAAATGTGACTACAGAACACGACTTTACAGTCTCATTGTGGTGGCGACACCAAAGTCACGCAACCACGGTGTAGTGCGTTTATAGCCTAACATTGGATGTTTACTTCTTAAATTGCATTTATGCTTCAAAATTTGAAAAAGGTGTTCATTTGTGAGGATTGTCTTGCTGAACAAAACATGCAAGCGTCTTTTTTTTTGCCACAGAGCCTAATTTTATCATTATATTTCCCTTTCTGCAAAAATCCAATGTTAAAATCCCATTGGCTTTTTGTCAATGGAACCAGGGTGATGATAACTTTCATGTTGGCCTACCAAATACATCATCACTGTACCACGCTGTACCAAAATTGCTTCACGCTTGCTTGGCCAGCAGTTGCCATTTCAGTTGCCAAAATCAACAGTTGCTGGCTGGAAATAAGAATAAGAAAACAACTAAGCCTTCCAAGTGGTAACTCTGCCGCCGCTATCATTGTAAACTGCATATGAGAACAGAAAGCTTGACAAGCATAGCAACAGTAACTAGGAGAGGCAGAGCTTAGCGAACCGTCAAAGTGTCTCAGAGCCCTGCACCTGCACTCTTGACACATTAAATCATGACCTGAAAAGTTGGTTGGCTGGAGTCAAAGTTAGCTGGTGATTGACTGTACAGCTGGAGCAGGTGAGAACTTGGTTCACAGTTTCTCAGCTCCAATTTTAGCCTGTTCAGGAAGGAGAGTGGGAGGAGGAAGACCGAGAAAATCCCTGCCTGCTTAATTCATTCTACGACTGTCCAGGATAAATGTCCTTCTACACTCTAGTACTAAAGGCTTAAAGGGATGATATTGGGTCAGAAAAGCAAATACAAGGACAGCAAGCAAGTTCCACAAAGTTTGCACAGCCTTTCCTTTCAGTGTACAGAGAATTTGTTTGGCTGAACTGTGTGTCAGGCTCAGAAAACATATTCAGGTGTTAAGTATGACTTGTGGTTTTTAAATCCACTGCGATGAGGTTTTTAATGGACGTGAGGGAGAACCACAGTGAACACAAGCTTGTCCTCACAGCTACCTTAAAGCTGATGGAGCACATTTTCTGCATGTCACCCTTGACAGATGGCACCATGCCAACATGAGGCAGAGCAACTGAAATAAAAGAGGCTAGAAGTGATGAAACTCTAGAGGAATGATTTGAGTGTCCCCATTAAAGAGGCAGTCGTGTTAACTGAAGTTGAAATGCAAATAGCTCATAATGTGGACACCCAAAACCCTGCTGCTGGATGACATAACTAAAATATTGCAGGCTTTTTACAGTGTGTTTGTGTTTTGTAAGTGTGTGTGCGTGCAGTGGAAATATTTTGATGATCTGAGACTCTTTCTTTGCACAAAGAAATAACAAATTAGACAGCAGATATTATTTTGGTGGGCCACAACACACTCTGTACATTTAACTACAGAAGAAAAAATATGCATGACCTTTCAAACTAAAACAGCTCGCAATAACTTATAGTCAGCTCTAATAGAAGTGGAAAAAAAGACAAAATTCTTTGTGTCTAAATTTGAATAATGTGTATTCATTACTACTGAAAAGGCTTTTACTGATGGAAAAAATTCTGGTATTTATAACCGACACTGTAACCTCTCACCTAAACATGAGTAGAAATCAAACAAAAGCCTGACATGAAAGCCTGGCTAAAAATATAAATGCATTCCAGTGATGAAGCGCTAAATACTTGTACTCTAAATTCAGTGGTGTGTAAAGGACACAGGCAAGGAGGGAGTCATCCGAAACTCATGTAACACTGCCCTGTGCTCTCTGTGAGGGGCCGCTTAATTATATCTCCCCTGCTCAGATCTGCATGTTCTCACATGGTCTACATGAGCATGGGATACAGAACATGAGAGGGGGCTGATAACCGCATGTTCATATTTACATACTGTATGTATGTAAATATGAATGTGCATGTGTGTAAATGCATGTGTGTATGGGAGTCTCTAACTGGTGCCACGTCTGTGAAATGCGGTGGGATGTCTAATATTGAGCCACCTGTTTGTCCTGCCTGCTGTTATACTTGTGTGCATCTGCTGTGCTGCAGCTCTACAGCACTTTCCACAGTAACCTGAGAGACTGGGAGCTTAAAGCACGGTGGACATTCTTTAATAATGAAGGAATACTCTGCTTACAGTACAGTACTTGGCTTACTCATGCTGTCTGGGCTGCGCTGCAGTTCAAAGGCAGACAAACGCTCATTATTTTTCATCTAGTCTTCTTCAGGTCATGCGCCACCAAAGTACATTAATAATACCAACATTTTTCTGTCATGTTTATGTCTGAGGGAGGCGGGGGTTAAATGGGAGTTCTCGAGTACTCACACATAGTGAAAGAGGCAGATTGATTGATAGTGGCCATAAGGAAGCGTTTGCTTCTTGCTGCTACTACGCTGTAGCCACACATGTTGTAATTATAACTATGCAATTCATTTCAGGCCACAGAGGACAGATTAGCCTGCCAGTGTTTAGCTCAGCTCTGCTGCAAGGCTGACGTCACACCATGCTGCATTAGCCATCGTCACCACTGCAGTACCATACTGGACACCTCTCTCTCTCTTTCTTTCTCCCTCTTCTTGTTCTTCTTAGGCCTACACCAAACCTTGTTTCATTCACATCTCCTGTCTGTTCAGCAAGTGAGTTTGCTCACCATTTTCCTTGTCTGTTTTCATGTTTCTGCTTCCCCCTCTGTGGGGTATACTGTATCATCTGTCCCCGTCTCCTTCTCTCCACCTCTCCAGCTTCTTCCCACCCCCTCTTCCTGTCACTGCTGCTGCCAGTACCCCGTACAGTAGATTTGCAAGACCCACTCTCTCTGCTTTCTGTGCTTTTGTCGCTTTATAGATAAAACATCAAAGCACATCCTGCTTAGAGAGAAAAAGGATTTCAGGGACATTCACTTGCTCTCATTTTCTCCCTCTTAAATCCCATCTCTGCTTCTTCATTCGTCTTAATCCCCCTTTCCATAGGCTCTTTCGTAGCTTCTCTCAGTCTGTTTCACCTACTATGCTGAACATCATTTATATTTTATCATTTTTCCCTTTTCCTCCCAAGATCGGATGCGGTCATCTCTTTTACATCGTATTGTTTCTGCTGCATCTCACCCCCACCTCCAAGGCTGTCAAGCTTTTATGCTTGAATTGATTGATTGACCTTTATTGATTTCTTAAGACCTGACACTGAAGGTCACAAGGACAGTGAAAGTATCAAAGCTCAGGCACAAAGAAAACAACTGTGAGAAAGGGAGAGGGAAATAAGAAGGTCAGTCACACAAAGTGTGGACTGTAAAAAAAAAGAAGGAGCATTAAGTATTTCTGCCTCTCGAGCTCTCTGCCGTCATTTGTTTGTGGAGTTGTACGGCTTCATCTCCTTGTCTAATTGCAAGGCTTTGGGTAGCAGCAGCCAGAGGAGTTGGGTTACACAGGCAGAGCTATATCTGCCTTTCTGTCATCACCAATCAGGATGAGGGCTATATGGGTAACTATCATTGGCAGTTAATACCTCAGACTTACAGAGGCATCCCGGACACGTCTCAGTGGTCCCTTTGCCTCAGCCAAGCATCCCACCCCGCAGAGTCCTAAACATGTACCTGTCACGCGCCTTATTCAGGTCTCTCAGGCTTGTTATTGGCTTAATGAAACCTATCTAATCCCAGCAGACTCCTGCTTGTTCATACACATGCACAGACAGTTACACACACAATCCTCTATTACTGTATTAGTGCGGAGCTTACAGGAACTATATTTGGGCCCCAACACCTCACTCTTTCCTTTGATTTCATCTGATGCCGACATGCACATGGATATCTGGATTTGGAGGGTAACAATGATATCCCAGCCCTACATCTCCAAGAATTATTTCCATATTGGACGTTTCTGCACCTTATGATTCATGTTAAGCCTGGGCGATACGGAGAAACA